CCCTGGCCAGTGGTGTGACTCAGTTAGTTAAGTGTTGTCCTGTGCACCAAAAGGTCACCATTTGGGGGCTTATTCCAGTAGGGGGCGTGTGGGATGCAGCTGATGTTTCTCTTTCACATTGATGTTTCTCTTTATCCGTCTCCTTTCCTCTCTAAAATAAAAAATAAAATAAATTACAATAAAATGAAGAATTGTCTGCTCTGGATGCCTAGCAAACTATATATTACTTGTACCTATTTTATTTTTTGGTTTGTGTTTTTGTTAATCCTCACTGGAGGATATTTTTGCCGTTGATATTTATTTATTTAATCAATCCTCACCCAAGGACATCTTTTCCATTTTTTGTTCAGATAGAGTGGGAGGGAGAGCGAGGGAGGAAGGGAGAGAGAGAGAGAGAAACATTGATGTGAAAGGGACACATCGAATGGTTGGCACCCGCACGACCCAACCAGGGCCAGGGACAAACTGCACCCGAGGTATGTGCCCTTAGCGGGAACCGAACCCAGGTCTCTGAACCACAGGCCGACACTCTAACCGCTAAGCCAAACTGGCCAGGGCCATTGGTTGATTCTTGTATGTGCCCTGACAGGAGATCAAACCCACAACCTTGGGGTATTGGGATGATGCTGTAAACAACTGAGCTACCCAGCCAGGGCCTATTCTAATTTTTAATTACCTAGTTTCTAGAATGTATAAATTATATACATATGTAAGTATAATTTCTCTACGTATCTTTTCAAATACATGTTCAGCACACAAAGATAACTAGACACATAAGACCTCATAAGTAAAAACCAGCAAACAACAGATACTGGAAACAACCACAAAAAAACTTCAGATATTACTACTAGCAACTCAGATTACAAAACAATTATGTTCACTGGGGTCAAAGAACAGCCAAAGTTGGGAATTTCATCAAAGGACCAGAAACTAGAAAAATAACAGTATATTTGAAAAGCCAATAAAGATTCTAGAATTGAAACAAGAAAGAATTCAATTGATGGATTTAACAGAAGATTAGACACAGCTGAAGGGACGTCAGTTCACAGATTCCAAAGGCTCAATGAATTTCAAGCACAATAAATTAAAAAATCCACACCTAGATACATCACAGTAAATTATAGAAAACCAAGGGCAAAAAGAAAAGAATTGGAAAGCAGCCAGCTACCTTCAAAGGAGGGACTGGAAGGTAAAAGGCATCAAGAAAGATAGAATCTGTGTCTCAAAAGAAAGTAACTTCCAACTAAGACTTCTATATCCAATAAAAATATTTATCTGGAATTAAGAAAGGCAAAAAAAAGATCTCTTCAGATCAAAACAAAAATGGGAGAGTTTCTCACAAACAAGCACAAAAGCAAACAAGCAAGGTAAGCAAACTTCTGTAAAGAGCCAAGTAGGACATATTTTAGTCTTGCAGACCATACGGTATGGTATCTGTCACAACCACTCAACTCTGCTGTTGTAGAGAAAAAAAAACCATAGACAATAGTAGATGAATGAGTCTGGCAGTATTCCAATGAAACTATTCACAAAAATAGGCAGTAGGCTAGATTTGGCCTGTGGACTGTAGATTGCTGACTCCTGTCCTAAAGTTTAAACTTCAGACCAAAGGGAACTGATCCCAGATGGAAAGGCAGAGATTCCAGAAGGAAGGAAGAGCAGAGTGGTAAATAAACATCAATTATATGAAACTTTGTTTTAAAAAACAACAACATAGAACTAAAAGATATGATAATAAGAGCATATAACAAGAAGTTAAATGGAGTTGGTTTTCTAGGCTCTTGTGTTATCTCTCTGGGGAAAGGGTAAAGGTATTGATGAAATTGGGGTAAGTGGCCTGGCTGGTGTGGTTCAGTGGACTGAACATCCACCCACACATTGAGAGGTCCTGGTTCCATTTCTGATCAGGGCACATGCCTGGGTTTTGGGCTCCATCCCCAGCAGGGGGCATGCAGGAGGCAGGCAATCGATGTTTTCTCTCTCAAATCAGTGTTTCTATCTCTCCCTTCCTCTCTCCCTCTCAAAAAATCAATAAAAAACATTTTTAAAAAGTGTAAAGGTATTGATGAAATTAGACTTTGATAAGTTAAAGATGCCTGTTATAAATATCTTCTAGGTTAACCATTAAAAGAATAAAAACAGAATAAAACTTCCAAACTACGAGAAAGGGAAACAATGAAATGATTAAAATGCAAGCAAGCCCTGGCCAGTGTGGTTCAGTGGTTAAAGTATCAGCTGTGCACCAAAGCTTCTCCGGTTCGATTCCAGGTCAAGGGCACATACCTGGGTTTCAGGTTCAATCCCCGGCCTGGTTGGGGCGCATGTGAGAGACACATTGATGTTTCTCTCTTCCCCACTTTCCTTCCTTTCCACTCCATAAAAATCAATGGAAAAAAAAAATCCTCTGCTGAGGATTAACAACAACAAAGACAAGCAAGAAAGAAGAGAAAAAGCAAACAAATCATTCGAGACAGACAAAATTAGAGATTTAAAACCAAAATATGACTAATTACATAAATATAAATGATTATGATTAAATGCTTCAATGAAAAGACAGAGAATAGCCCTGGCAGGTTTGGTCAGCAGTTGGAGCATCAGCCTGCAGACCAGAGTCCTGGGTTCGGTTTCCGCTAGGGGCATGTACCAAACAAACTAGATGCTGTTTATAAGAGATGTAACCAAACAGAAAGGTAGACAAAATTAAGACTAAAATCTCTTTAGTAACATAATTATTCAACATTTTAGTGCTATTTCCTTCCTAAGGAATATATGTATGTATATGTATATGTATATGTATATGTATATGTATATGTATATGTATATATGCATCCCTTTAGGAGATATTAACTTGAACACTTTTTTTTTTTTTTTAATCCTCACCAGAGGACATTTTTCCATTTTTTGTTCAGGTAGAGTGGGAGGGAGAGAGAGGAACAGAGAGAGAGAGAAATATCGATGTGAAAGGAACACATCGAGAGGCTGCCACCCGCACAACCGACCAGGGCCGGGGACAAACTGCAACCGAGGTACGTGCCCTTAGCAGGAACCGAACCCGGGTCTCTCAAGACCGCAGGCCCACGCTCTAACCGCTGAGCCAAACTGGCCAGGGCAACTTGAACACTTTTATTGTAAATAGTTTTCAAAAGATGATGTTCCTACTATTTGGAGTTGTTTGAATTTTTATTTTTTATTTTATTTTATTTTTTTAATCCTCACCTGAGGATATTTTTCCATATTTTGTACAGATAGAGTGGGAGGGAGGGAGAGGAAGGGAGAGAGAGAGAGAAACATCGACGTGAAGGGACACATCGAGTGGCTGCCACCCGCACGACCAACCAGGGCCGGGGACAAACTGCAACCGAAGTACGTGCCCTTAGCGGGAACCGAACCAGGGTCTCTCCGGACCGCAGGCCGACGCTCTAACCGCTGAGCCAAACTGGCCAGGGCAACTTGAACACTTTTATTGTAAATAGTTTTCAAAAGATGATGTTCCTACTATTTGGAGTTGTTTGAATTTTTAGTTATCTGAATAACTGAATGGAAAAAAATATTTTGTGAATCACTAAAGGCAATGAGATTCTAAAATTTTTGTTGGCCCAATACGCATTTAAAAGGATCCAGGGACTATGATCACTATTTCATGTTAATTTTTTATTGCTCGTACTAATTAAGTTCCAAGTCGTTGCATAGACAATTTTTTTTATCCTCATCTGAGAACATTTTTTTGAATTTTATCTTCAGATAGAGTGGGAGGGAGCACGGGAGGAAAAGAAAGAGAGAGAAACGTCAATGGGAGAGAGACAAATAGGGCCGGGGACAAACTGCCACGGAGGTACGCGCCCTTAGCGGACCGAACCGGTCTCTGTCCACCGGCCCACGCTCTAACCGCTGCGCACACCGGCCAGGGCCATATACAATTTTAAAGAAACAAAATTTGACCATTCTTTTCTTTCTTATTTTTATTTTCCATTCTTTTCTTTCAAAGTATCTAGAAGTACCTATGTCTTACGGAATTACTGTTTTTACATAAAAAAGTTAGTGCATCGGGGCAAGGCTCTGGGCTGAGCATTTTCGGTGAGCTCATTTCGCCCTCACAACAGAGCTTTGAGGCGTCTATCTCATTAAACACGAGGTTAAGAAAGAAGTTGCTGAAGGTCCCACCGAGGGATCTGACTCCAAGGTGACAGCACGCTGGGAACCCACAGGCTCGTTTCCGTCCCTGCAGACACAATGGAAAGAAAGGCCGCACCCTTCAGCTCTCTCTCAAGCAGGAAAGAAATTCTCTGCAAGAGCACTTCTTCCCCTTTCTCAGAAGACTGCTTAATCTTTATGGTTCCTAATTTGGAATAACAGCTTCCTGCTGTTACTGTACGTAATGACGATGAATCCGAAATGGGCTACATCTGTTTCCTAGTGTATTAATTTCAGGTGTTATTTCCTGAATTTGACTTATTCCAGTTCGGGCGGCTTGGTCTCCATGAAAATGAAGGAAAAGGATCCAGATGTCAGGAGCGCAGGGCTTCTTTTGTAGGGGGCTGGGCAGCAGTGAGAACAAGGTTGAGTCCACACGACTCCGGGTGGGCCCCTGAGAACGAGTTAATCCTAAGTATTCGTCAGGAATACGCCCATAGTAGCCATTCGGACTGGTAACCTCAGTCGGACCGACTCGCATGGCCTCTGCTCCCTCCGGATTCGGGCTAGCCCTCGGACACATTTACTAATCTGGGTTTGGACTCCCAGCACATGGTGCCGCCCAGCCCTATTCGACCCGTAGCCGGGAGCCTAAGGTTTGGCGCCTCAGGCGTAAGCCGCTCCGAGGGGCTGTGGAAACACCAGTCTCGCGATATTTGGAGGAGGGGCCGGGAAGGGAGAACTCGCGTGCACGCGCACGAGAGCCGTTAGGGTGGAACCCCTCCTAGGCGGCGCGGGCGGAGCAAGTACGGTTGGACGCCAGTTGGTGGAGTCCCCGCAGAAAACGACTAGGCGCGAGCAGCGTGCGCGCTCACGTCGTAGCGACGGCGGTGGCGAGCGGCGTCAGAGCTTGAAGGGGGGGCTGACGACTGCTGGCGGGTGGCGGTGTTGAAGGCGAGAGCTTGCTTAGCCCTTATCGCTTCTGTCCCAGGACTCGGACAGAGAGTGAGGGAACGAGGGTCGCTTTCGGGGGCTGCTGCCTTCCGCGTACGCGACGTCGTCAGGAGCGCAGCCCGGACTCTGCTGTAAACACTGCGGCTCCTTTCCCGCACGCCTCGAGGCGGCGGTGGCGGCGGCGGCAACCGAGAGAGCGTCTCACCTTCCCTCAGCCCTTCCCCTTGTCCCCCCCGCCCGAAAGGGCCCGATCTGCGCCCCACCCCCGCCTGTCCGCCCGCCCGCTACGCCGCCGCCATGTCGGCGCAGGCCCAGATGCGCGCGATGCTGGACCAGTTGATGGGCACCTCCCGGGACGGTAAGTCTCTGCCAGTGCCCTGGGGGTGGGGGAGGGGATGGGAAAGGCGAGGGAAAGGGGCTCTGCGGGCGCACCTGGGCTTGTGTGTGTGGCTGAGTAAGGGGCTCCCAGATTGGTAACACGAGGTCCCGGCTCCGGTCCCATCCAATCAGGGCTGGGCAGGCGGGCTGGGGGGGCGGTGTCCGAGCGGATTGGCGGGAACTGCTGCCAATGGGGTCAGGCGGGGCCTGGAGGCTGAAAGGAGAGTTTGAGCATTCAGTGTTGACTTGGCTGGGACAAGAGAGCCCACGTCTCTCTTGCGTAGTCGGGCGGTCCGTTTTGTGGTCGAATTAGGTACCTGCGGACCGCTAGAGCTTCCGCCCCTTGAACTAATCCCTAACCCAGAGTTGTGGGATCATGATCATCCCTCGCCGTCGCCCTCCAGAGCATCCAGAGAGAACTGCCCCCCGCCACCCCTTCCACCCCTTTTACCTGGGTCTGAAGGAAACCTTTACTGTGAACCCAGTCCCAGAAATGCACTCTCGACCCCCGCAGAAACAACCATTCTTATGGAAAAATCTGACCCAAACCATGTTTTTTTGAGTGGGTGTGTTTGGCCCCATTTTGTGAAAAAAATGTTATGGCCTGTTTTTTCCGAAAGACCTCCATTTTGTTAGACAATTTAATAGAGGCTTTGTTCAGTAAATATTGACAAATCTTGCATGTGCCCCAAATAGAGCCATTTTGAAAATGTGGTGCCCAGTGAAGTAGAATTGAAGGAAACGATTCTTTTAGGTATTTAGGGTAAATTTTGTATAGAAAACCACTAATTGCTGGATATTTCTGTCATAAAGAGAATTCTGAATAAAAAGATGAAATGCTGTTGCTTTTTTTGTTGATGATAATTAGTAATGTACTCTTTCAAATTCAGCACAAATCCATGCTAATGTGGAGGAAAGGTGTAGTTCAATAATTTATTAAAAATAAAACACTTGTTTATTTTCATATGTTGCTTGTCCTGGCACATAGTTTCTTAGCCGTTGAAGAAATGCTTTTTTTTCTTAACAAGTTATTTAAATTGCTTGACATAAGAGAAAAGACACTTCTAAATTTTTCAGTCGTTCTTATAATTTTCTTGAGTGCTTTGCAGCAAAATATGTGAGTAGATTTAAAAAAATTTGAATTCAAATATTTTTGGCAATGCATATTTAGAATGGCTTTTCAGTATTCACAGTTCAATTTTAATAAAAACCCATATTGGGAACTTTTCTTTGTAGAACACATAGACAAATAGGTGTAGATGGCAAACATATTTGTGGTTGTGTAGAGAGGAGGGGAAGATTGGGAAGGAAATGAATTTTATTTGTGTAGTAAACCCTTGAAAGTTAACATTAATTTAAAATGCCACTGGGGAAACTTATATGTTATATTTCACCTTTAGATAAGAATGGTCATTTTATATCTGCAGCATGTCTTAACATTGCTCCTTTTTCATTATGAAGACAGGATTGTGAAGGGACTTAATCCAGGATTTTAGCTGACAGAATAATCTTTGTAATAAAATTATAGAGATTTTTAAAGATTTACTTTACATGATCTTTTTAATCCTAGATGGATACCATTTTTTGGTACCTTCTGCATGGATTGAATTTCCTAATTTTACTGGGAGGGTACAACTACATTACTATCAAAGTACATTACTATCACCTGATAAATTTCTGAACTAGGCAGCTAATCTAGTATTGTAAAGCTAAACCAAAAATATGTATTATTTTTTCCTGTGTATGTAGTCAGTATAATAGAAATTTCTTAAAATCCATTCTGTTCGTATACAAATAAATTTATATTTTTTTGTGTGTATTACGGGATTTTTTTTTTTATTTTTTATTTTTGCCTCCAGACTAAGAGGATTTACCAATGAATTCATGTTTATGAGTCCACAATATTATTTAGCTGAAATGACTGGATATTCACTGCTGTGTTGGGCTAGAAGCAAGAAATATACTACTTTCAAGGAAAAGAATGTTTTTTTTTAGATACATAAGTTCTTTTCATGTGTACAAGATAATTAGAACATTCTTTTCCTTCTTACCAGATACCAGATAGTTAATGAGTTTACATATTTTATTTTATGATTCAGGATCTTTAAATAATTAGGATTGTTCTTTTTTTAGAGTGTATAGTCAACTTAAGTTATCCAGGAATAGGGAAACATGTATACGTTCCTCAATAACACCATGTAATTTGAAACCGTATAATGAATGGGAAGCTTTGTATTGGACACAGGAACAGCTTACAGGGACTGCTGTTGATTGTCTTTGGCACTAAGAGGTGGAATTGGGGATCCAAGAGGTGGGAGAGAGATGGAAAAGGTAGGTAGGAGGTATTTAAGGCAGCCCTGTTCATTTTTTGTTTTTTGTTTTTTAATTTCTTTTAATCTTAAAGACTATAAAGCAACCACTGTCTTCTAGGATAGTGGGACTCAAGGTGACAATAACTCCCTCAACCCTTAGTGTCCTGTCTGTGAGGGAATCTGAAGTGGCATAGAAGTCTCAGGGCACTGAGAATACCTTGCACCTCCCCCTCCCCCCAAAATAGATTTATTCCTTCGTGCTGTCCCCCCAAATCTTTTTAATTAGTTCCTTTTTAAAGTCCTTGGAGATTTAAGTCTGTTAAATGTACTGTATTTTGAATTACTTAAATAAATTAATAATTTAGATGATAAAAAAAATAAATTTCACTGAAATAATCAAGAATAGGAATTTTAGTGGCAGGAAAATGGAGAGCTAATTTTTCATCACTGGGCACTTCCAGAAAGGACAGTCCTGGGTGAGTGGTGGCAGTGGGGGGCTTTGGACAACCAGAGGGCAGCATGATGGCGCTGGGAGGCTGGGCAGGGGGATGACCAGGAGGTGGGAAAGGAATGTATAAGGGAGGTGGGAGGGCCAAAGACAAACTTTGCTTTCTTTGCAATTTTGCCTAGGGCCCTGGTGGTGGCAACCGCCTGTGTGCCACTGAAAATCGTGCCGATGCCTGGCATACTGCATAAATGGAAGCAGGGTACCGCGTGAGTTGAAACATTGGTCACACTATATAAAGTTTGTATATGTGAATCAGTGTAACTCATACCCATGTAACTGGGGGTCTGACTGTATTTGGATTTTTCTGATAAGGAATCATGGGCTAAGGAAAAGAGCACTGGGCTGAGACTCAGGAGACCTGGTTTCTAGCCCCAGCTGTACCTCTAATTGTAACCTTGGGTAAGTCACTTAACCTTTTTTGCCTCAAGTTAAATCTATAATTTGTTAAGTGGGAAACCGAACAATTTCCTGTGTTATACTAAAAAATGTTGGAAAAATATATTTAAAGTTTTTTAGAAGGGAGGAACCATAAGTAGATATATGTCAGTATCATTTTATCTAAAGTGTAAAATATGTTAAATTTTATAAATATTTTTTTTTAGTTGTTAGCATTAAAATAAGGAAGAGGGATAACTTCTTTGTCTGAAACATATTCCATTACAAAGCAAGGAGCAGGAAAGCAGCCCAGGAAAATTCAAGCAGCAGTTTGAGACTTGTCTATGTGACACTTGGAGGAACCCAGTGTCCTCACACAGACTATGGTCATTTGTGCTGAGTTGGGTTAGCTGCAAGGATGTCCCTTAGTTAAAGCCCTTTTGCCAACAGATACAGTTTGGTTATGATTAAGTCTCTGGTTCTGATCCCAGACTGGCCTGGCAGGGTGCAGGGATAGAGATTAAACAAAATTGAGGGTGTGAATTTAGATTACGTTCTTTTTAAAAAAAATATTTTTTCTTTATTCATTTTAGAGAGGAAGGGAGAGGGAGAGAGAGAGAGAAACATCGATGAGAGAGGACATTGATTGACTGCCCCCCTGTATGTCCCCTACTGGGGATTGGGCCCACAACCTGGGCATGTGCCCTGACAGGGAATCAAACTGGTGACCTCATAGTGCATGGATTGACGCTTAACCACTGAGCCACACCGGCCTGGCTAGATTACATTCTTAGTTTAGAAACTAAGGAAGTGACAGAAGGTAGTTTTGAGGATTTCATACCTCTTAGTTGTTATAACCTTTAAATGGAATCAGAGACCATCTCTGAAGGTTAAAATAGCCCAGGAATGAAAATCTGTCCTGAAAAATAACCAGTAGACTAATAGAATGTAGCATATAGAATAGAATTTTATAACATCATTAGTTGTTTGTTATGGTTAGTGAGTATTTGGAGCAAGTTAAATACTCTTTAACTTTTGGTGGTCATTTTCCCTAAACATATGATTCTGTACTTCCTTAGTTAATAATACAGTACATTGATCAGAATTAATATTTTTGTTGATCTGTGTATTGTATGGTAGTTATAGTTTATGGGATATAAAATTAAAGGATACTTATCCTAGGACATACCCAGGAAAATACAGTTCAGAGTATCATTTACTTGTTCCTAATCTAAGTTAGTGATACATAACTGTTGAACCTATAGGACAGATTTTCTTCATAAAATCATCTCTATTGTAATCTGTGTTCCTTGACTTGTCATCAACATTGAGAGCATTTTATTTATTTATTTTTTTCATTAACATAATGAACCATACTTATTTCTTGGTCAGTTGTAAGCCATTTTTGTATTCCACTTGAGTTGTTCATTTTAAGTGAAGGAGGCGTAGCCTTTAATGTACAAACATTTAAAAATAATAATAATAGGGTATTTCTTACTCTAGATCTTGTAAATTCTTTAACACTATGAGAAATTTTAGCAAACATAAGGCTGAACAGTAGTTAAACATAAAAAGGTTTAACAGAGTTTTAGTAAATATTTGACTTAATTAGAGGTCCAGGCATAACAAAACACTGAAAGCTTTGTTGACACCCACATAGTAAATTTATTAAAAAAACAAAACTACTAACCCATTTTGCATTTTGAATTCTGAATACTGTTCATACAGAACAGCCAGAAAACAATAATAGTATTACCTCACATAACCCTGAATTATCCTTGGATT